CTCGCCCCGGCACAGCAAATTCTCAGCTCCGTGGGCTGACGTCCGCAAGGTGAAAAATAGATGTAACATACAATTTTTATTTTCTGGCCCATCCAGGGGCTTAAATCTAACGGTGAAATATCGGGTATTGTGGCAATTCGAACATAAGACATCTCGATAATACACGGTTGTACGAAATTCGTAACTGCATGGGCCGCTGGCCCCATAAACATGGTATTTGTATGTTACATGCAGTTACGTACGTTCAAGAGCAATTGTGCAAATATAAAGATAAGAAGTAAAGGGCTGTTCCTTGCTCCACGAGACATGGATATCTGTGGCTATTTTCACTCAGTAGCATCTCTTCCTTCGACCACTCCTTTTTTAAGCTTTCGTATCAAAACATCCCTGGCCATAGTTTAGCTATTACTTTGTAAACTTAGTGAGTTATTTTTACTTCAATGGGGAAGTGTTTTTAATTAAGTTGTTATTTCATCATGTTGTTCAAGTTGCTTTTTTTCTTCTTCTAGAATCTATCCAGACTTGGCCCACGCCTAAGCGAACTCGATACGTGTCATGATTCCAATACCTTCCTCACACATTCTTAGAATCTAGCTAGTTTTAAGCGATGCCTAGATGAATTAGTGTTTCAGGTGGAAAAAACGGGTGGATGGGTTGCGCCTGACTTCTATGAAGGTGACGATTGTTATTACGGTCCACACCTCTTCAAACACTGTTCGAACGAGGGTGTTTGGTGTATGGGGAATCTACGTTACCTTACACTACTCCTATGGAGATTCCTTGAGAGCTCCGCGACTACAACTAAGACTACTGCTATGGAGGATCCTTCGTGGAGGAGAGCTCCGCAAACTACAGAGGAAAAGGGGAAAAGGGACAGTTGAGACAAGTTGTCTTTGTGTTGAGTTGTGATTGTCTGCTTGCTCCAGAAGGTTGCTCCCAGTTTTGTTGCGCAGAGTCCTCCAACTGCTCTCTCTCTCTCTCTCTCCTCCTCCCGAAAAATAGCTCCGCTTAGCCTCTACGCAAGTCACTTGTCGCCAAGAAGTCTCTAGACATATCACCACGTCATCCTAGTTCAAACATGGATGATACCATCAAGCTAGTACTTTGGATGGTATCCATGATATTGGATGGTCACCATCCCATTAATCCCTTGGATGGTGTCCATGATATTTGGATGGTATCCATGATGTTGGACACTACCATCCATAATAGAGATTTGGATGGTATCCATGTTGTTGGACACTACCATCCATAATAGAATTTGGATGGTATTCAAGTTGTTGGACACTACCATCCATAATAAAATTTGGATGGTATCCATGAGTTTGGACACTACCATCCATAATAGGATTTGGATGGTATCCATTACGATGGATGGATGGTAACAGTGACCATAGTTGGTATTGTCGCTATGTTGGACAGATACCTTAGGGCAAACTACTTAGAGTGTCCCAATTATACATAAATACTACATGTGATAATTAATAAATTTATTTTGGTGTAAACAACTAGCCACTAGGTAAGGTTCCAACACCCTCCTTACGCCATCTTGAATCTTCATTCAAACTTGTAAAACTAAGAAAAAACATAAAAGAGCACTCTGACCAGACAACCTACAAGCCCGTGTTTGCACGACAACCAAAAGTGTCGTCTATAAGGACCACGTTAAGCAATAGATATATAGTACACTCTAGCAGCATGGGAAGAACCTATCATTGATCAAGCAACTCAATGGAGCATATGGCCCCTGAGGGAATGTCAAAGAATTCAGCAACACAGGGCACGAAAGGTTGTTGAAGCAAGTTCCGAGAGAGGTCCAAATATGTATTTTACATCATTTTTTTTCTTCTCTTCCTCCCCTCAAATGAAAGCCAAGTCACGGACTTGAAATTTGCACACATTCACTGTATCATGTGCTTACTGGTATTGAATTGTGGTAACTTAATTAAACATGAGAACTCTTGGGTCAAATCACACTCCGATGTCATATGTAAAAAAGCAAAATGATTCTATTGACTCAAGATATTAAGAAAAGTGCAATTATAAATCTTATCCCACTACTTTCTTACAAAAATTACGAGTCTTGTTTTTTTACTTCATATCGGATCAATGATGTCTACCATTGAATCATATATACACATCTACCATTTATTTATGAATTAAAGAACACACCATTGATAAACAAATATGTTCAACTAATCGATCAAACCGACCATTTGCATCTCTCTATATATATACTATTACTATATTGCGCGATATTTTCATTCACGAACTAATTAACTAGCTCTAAAGACGACGACAGAGGGCTTAATCAACCCATCAACGTAATTAACTAATAATGCAAGCGAAACATGATTATATTATGTGACGATCGCTATATAAAACGACGTAACAAGGGACCTACAGATAGCAATCCAGCGGCCGTCCATGGAAGTTAGGGTTTGTGGAATGATGGACACAGGGGCAGCTAGCCGCCTCAGCAGTGACATTTTGATTCTGAGACCAGAGATTGCGACGTATAATATTCGGTAGGGCTGCCGATTCGGTTAATCGAAACGTAATTAAGACGAAAAAATTAAAAATGTCCGTTCTTCTAAAACAGAGATCTTAACGGTTTGGTTTGGATATAAAGAAGTCGATTAACACCGAACTGAGAGAGAGCTCACCAAACAGTTCAACCTTACAAGTCATGCATCGCCCTTTACCAAAGAATGGGTTTCGGTTTCTTTTAAGTTTTCCGGTTTCAAACCCACAATCGAAATCGTCAAAATACAAAACGGTTGGAGACCGAGAAGTACTAAGTTTTTTTTTTATTGATTTGACACCTTCACCGTGCTGATGAAGTGTTGATGAGCACCCTATACTAAAGTATTGAGCAAGAATTCGCCGTGATTTCTCGATTTATGCGTGTCATCATCACCGTGTTGTCGGCGTCGGTTAGCTTAATTATGGTTAACCGTTCATACTCATGCATGTCTCTTTAGCATGGCAATTTGATAACAGGAGAGAAAACGTTATCAAAAGGAAAGAGCAGAGGAAGGTAGACTCCAAAAACAATAGGGCAATGCTGATGATGAAAGTAGCATTAGTCTAAACTTTAAGCGTAATAATAATTAAGTCGAGGCTAATTAATAATTATAGCTAGCCAATAGTTTCCACTTAGTAGTGGTGATTCAGCTAATTAATTAATGTTTAGGGCTTAATTAATAGGTTTAATGGAGAAGTGGGGCGACCGACATTCACCTCCCACTTATGAAAACTTCCACACTTTTTCTATTACCTAGCTTTTTGGCCTTTGGGGGTTGGGTTTTTGTCGTTCTAGATTCTTCTTTAATTTACTTCTTCTTCTTCTCTCCCACGACACCAACTATCCTTCCTCCAATCGCATTCTAACAACGCTAACCAGCTAATCATGACGTTAGTAATGGCAATTTGAACCCGCCTCGTCGTCGGGTATAATCTGGTCTCTTATGTATTAGGGTGGATAATACCAGACTTGTAATAGCATGAGACAAGACATGAGTACTACTTTCGTCATGTTCTGACTCATCTCGTCTCGTTTATTGACCTGTTATTATATCTTGATCTGTATCAATATTCGATTGCAGTTCTTGAATATTTACTTGACTTAAGTCATATTTCACCCAACAATACTTTAGATAAGTGAAAGACTTCATCTTTCAACTAATTTTCTCAATTAATCTACATATTATCTCTGTTTTTATTTATGAACTACGTTCCTTTTGTATTCATCGTTAAGAAAATAAATAGGCTTTCCAAATTATATACATATAAGAATGAGTAGACTTGCCCCCGACTCATACCCACACGAATATTATCCGACCTGATCCGTACTTGCCTACTTGGTATGCGTGACAAATATGAATATTGAGGTATCACCCGTCTCATTGCTATCATCACTATATGTTGTCCATAATAAATAAGAAAAAGAATTTAACTTCAAATTATTAGCTAATTTTGGGATCATATTGGGAAGAAATTTGTATTATGATTAAAGATGATTAAGCTTTGATCATGAGCATATTTGGGGGTATGAAAATTGAAAACCATGCATGACAATTGAATTATGTATCCCATCATCAATCGTGCGGCGGAGGAAGCAAAGAGGTATCTTCATATATATCTATCTAACGGCGGGCGTTAAAACCAACGACCCGCGGGCGTACCGAGTCGGGTCGGGTCGCCGGCCGAAACTCTTCCCGGATCTATACCTGGCAGCTGATTGGCTGGAGAAAATATCTAAATCGCGGGGCCAGGCTGGCACCTGGTTTTTTTCTAGATATTTACGGCGGCCAGGAATGCTGCCCGCGGTGGTTTTGTGGTTCCTGCCCGGATATCCTCAGCCACTGAAGCCGGCGACGTGCTCGTTTTATGGTGGTTTTGATGCTTCTCGGGCAGGAGTTCGGGCAGTAGTGCTGCCTGGCCTGCTTTATATATTGGCATCCACGTGAGATTGAGAAAGACACAAAACCTTTTTTTTTGGGTTAATGACACATTTGATCACTGAGATTACAAAATCGGGATATGTTTAGTCACTAGAAAAAGTTAATATCAAATTTGGTCACTACAATTACTAAAACTGGACAGATTTAGTCACTCGCCGTTAGTCTCCGTCCAACTCCGTTAATGAAGTCCGTTAAGTGCTGATGTGGCAAACAGAATTGCCTAATCAGTCGGATATAACCCAACAAAAATAAAACTCGACCCGCCACGTCATTATAACCCGCCACGTCATTAAACCCCACCCAACCCATGACCCAACCCCACCCAACCCTTCTTCCTCCTTCCTCCCACCTCCTTCTTTCCCCAAAACCGCCGCTGCCGCTCTCCTCCTTCATCCCACCTCGGCACCTCCCACCTCCTCTAAATCATCGCCACCGCGCCCCGCCAGCGGCCGCCACCATCTCCTTTCTCCCTGCCCTATAAATTGGCTTGAGAGTCGTAGACGGCGCCTATTATCTCCTTACCCTTTTTCCTCGATCTTTCTATCTTCACCCTTTTTCGGGTTTTCCTCACACTCTTTTTTTCTCCGCCGCGAAAATTTTGAAGTTCGGAAGCAGCTTGCTCTGTCTGTCTTTCTATCTATATATATAGTCCTTTCTCACATCCATTTCGGATCCGTCTCTTGGTGGGTCTCTCTCTTTCTCCTGGGAGGAGAATCGGGCGATCTCTGAGCTCCATTTCCAAGCTGGTCAAGGTGCGGAGTTTTCCAATCTCATCTCTTTTTTACTTTGACAATAGTTCTTGTCCAATTTTTTCGTGGGTTTGTCGAATCTTTGAAGTATGAACAGAATTGGTTTCTGGGTTTCGATCTGTTCTTGGGAAAGCTCAGGACTTCATCGTGGATCTGGCTTTAGATTTGAATCTGCGATGCAATAGACAGATTTAGGGATTTGTTTGAATCAATAGGTCGAAGCTGAATTTGTCGATTGATTTAGGGGTTGCTCTTAATGTTTGGAGTGGGGGAAAAGATGGTTGAGACTCAACCAAGCAAACCCTTGATCCGAAATGGATGGGAGGTGGGAGGAAGGAGGAAGAAGGGTTGGGTAGGGTTGGGTCATGGGTTGGGTTGGGTTGGTTTTAATGACGTGGCGGGTCGGGTTTTATTTTTGTTGGGTTATATCCGGCTGATTAGGCAATTTTGTTTGCCACATCAGCACTTAACGGACTTCATTAACGGAGTTGGACGGAGACTAACGGCGAGTGACTAAATGTGTCCAGTTTTAGTAATTGTAGTGACCAAATTTGATATTAACTTTTTCTAGTGATTAAACATGTCCCGATTTTGTAATCTCAGTGATCAAATGTGTCTTTAACCCCTTTTTTTTATCGATAAGTATATTCTTCTAATACAACAAGGTCAATTTTTATTCATAAAAATAGAAATAAGACCATTTTAAAAAATATATATATAAAAACAAAACCAAAATGCTTCATTATGAATCTTGAGGTTTCATGTTTGTTGTAATTAGAGCTACAATTGAGTCGAGTTGAGTTTGACTTACATTGAGCTAGACTCGTTAATAAACGAGCCAAACTCGAGCTTTACTTGATTACCAAAATCTTGTCTTGTGTTTAACTCGAGCTCGGCTCATTAATGAATTCAATATCTCTACTCGAGCTAGATTGATTTACTAACGAGCGACTAATATCCGCATGATTTATTGCTAACCGCGAGTTAATGCATATGTTGTAGGTGGGAACTGAGTGTATCATATATCATGATCCCGTTTTCACCAACCAAAATAACAATCCACGTACATAATACATACATACATACATAACATTATCAATGTAAGTTATGTGAACGAGATCACAATTACTTCTTTCTTTCCCAAGAGTTATAATAAGTACTACTCCAATAATCAAAGTTATTTCATACTAATCAATTTGTATTAACAATGTATTAACTTAAGACGTCCCCTTCTTCTTTAGAATTAGTGCGCTTTGACTTTGCCTAGTGTCCAAGTCTAATTAGGAGTCAATCAATTATCATTCGTTTAAGTGCTCTCTTTAATCATCCCACCCACCATCCACCCGCGTTAATCTGTCTTACTCCAAGTCTCCAACTTTCGGTATATGTTTCAAAAAGACAGCGGAAGTTTTAGAGTTCCACTTATTATTAGGTGGGTTGACTATGGTAAAAAAGAACAGAAGCAAGAGAGACTAAGTGCATAATGTCAACGTATACATAGGAAATGATGCTACATAATAGGGTTTTGTATGGTCAACGGCCAACCACATCCTTCCACACGGTGAGAAAATAGTGTGTTTCACCCTTCCATATCATTGTGGTATTCACAATACAATATGCAATGTTGGTATCGAGTTTCAATCATTCATATCTCTGGAGATGATAAGTTCATTCGAAATGCTCTAAACGCAGTGTCATTCCGATTCGCTGGTTGCGCATGTTATCTAATATAGACACTTAGATATGGTAAATGATTGTAAGAACGCTCAGCGAAAATGAGCATTTGAGAGAATGCTTGTCCATGGGTCTTGGAACCATCTCCTCGGATGGCATGTGTGATATATAGTGTTTTCGCTCTTCGGAGTTGGGACATGCCACTGTAGCGAGTATAAGACATGACACGAACGACATAGCTAGTGAGCCTCACAGTCATATTGATGCTCAAACTGCATAACTTATGCTCTCGATGAAGATGTTGATCTCTCAAACATTATATTGTTATTCAACTTGATACAAAAATTAATTGTGAATTAGGATATTTCTCTGAAGTATTTTTCTGTGGATCTGTTTTGATATTATTACAAAATTTACCTAAACCTTTCTCTCTCTAGCTGACCCATCCCTATATCCAATTCCTTATTCTTCTTCTCTTCAAATTTATCCAAGAATCAACCTTTTCTACTAAAAGCTTAACTCCTTAAAACCCCAATGCCCATGTATCCATCCTCTCTCATGTGATAATTGTAGGAAGTAGGTTTTAAAGAACAGGACAACGACAGTCGAATGACATTGTTGTAATTTGGTGCTGGACTCGAACTAATAGTAACTTCAACATACTCATAAACAAACAGTAACAAATATCAACCTCATTCTCCATTTCAAGTTACATCCTAAAAACACTAAACCGTCTAACTTGATTCGATAGATTCTCCTAATTTAACACCCTGAGGTCGAAAATTCAGACGATCGAGACATCCGAACTTGGGTTTAAACGAGACATCCGAATTGAAAGTTTGATGATCACTTTGTCAATGACAACAAAGTTAAATGACCATCCATATAATTGACCCCCTTCATCAATCAAAAGAATCTCAAAATGTTACATAGCATATTGCCTATGGACCATGGATGCATGTAGATAAACATATATCCATGCGCATACATACATAAAATAAAATACATATAATAATTTGGGGAATAATAAGGAGCCAAGAGAGAGAATAGGTGGGTGACGTGGGCCTGTAAGGCGAGAGGAAAATATCGTCGCCACGTGGTCAGAGCCCAAATCTCTAAACTTAAGCATTGGAGCTCTGAGAGCCCTCCTAAAGATCTCCTCTCTCTTCTTCTCCTACAAAGCAATCAAAAAAATTGACGGAGTTGGTAAAACTCTGAAGAACCCAAAAGATTCCGAAACCTCCATTTCTTTCTCCTCACAGATTTCTTAGTCCACAGGCGGAAAACTCCACACCTGTAAAATCATCTCAGATCCCCAAATTCCTTCCTTACCAGGTACTCTTCTGTACTTAGAACTTCCCCTCTTCTTTTCTCTAGAAATCACCAGTTGATTTCATTTTTTACTCGGTTTCTGAGGGCTTCAATTTGTAAAGATTCGAGCTTTACTTCTTATCTGGCCTTCCTGCTGTTCTGGGTCTCTTGTTTTTTGGAATCAATTCGTTGGTGGTTCCTGATTTGGGGTGAAAAAAATTTTATCCTTTCGTTTTTCTTTTCTCCCCACCACTATTTAAGGGTAAGATTCATTGTGTTGGCTTTTGCTGCAGAGAAGTTGGTGATGGGTAGCGGCGGAGCAGTAGAGGTGACATAATTTTGTACAAGTTTTTGAACCAGAAGAAATGAAGATGATGGGAGGCTTAGATTTATGTTTCTTCATTGGTTATTGAGTGTTGCTATTCTGGGGTCTGTTTGTAATATTCAGGACGAATGTTGAGTTACGATATTTGGATTCTTGATTGGTGGTAAGAGGGTGCGGGTTTGAGGGGGAAGGAAGCTGAAAGAGGGAGGTGGAGCTTGGTTTTTTTCTCCTTTCCCTTTTTGGTGCTTCCAGAGCTCCTCACCGTTTTGTGAAGGCAAAGAAAAAGGGGTTTCCTTATTTTCACTGTAATATCGAGACTTAAATTTACCAATTTCAACCACTTGTTCATCACCAATGGCTGCTGCTGGGACTTCTTCCGAGCGATGGATTGATAGTCTTCAGCTCTCTTCATTGTTCTGGCCTCCTCCACAAGATATCCACCAGAGAAAGGTTGGATTAATAACCTTCTCTTGTTATAGTCTTGTGTGTGCTTATCTTTTAGTTGTTAATTACATGCTTCTTTCCTGGTCTAGTTTTTTTCCTTATACATGAAATTATGTGGCCTGTTTTGGAATCATTTTAACAGCATGGTAATGATTGTAAAGGCAAGATCTTCATTTAAATCCAATCCCTTAAAAGAAAATTAAGAAGTGCCGAGTCTTTGGACTTCTTCATAACTGGAAAAGGTTTCTAGGTGGAATCGGGTAGTGCACATGAGTTCTGTCTTAGAAGGAGATATTTTCTTCTAGGAAGGACTGGTGATTGCATGTCTGCCTATTAGCTTAGTGGTTGCGAAACCAGTCTTTATGATGGGGAAAATGATGTCTAACGGTGATTTTTAGACATGATCCAATAGTCCCTAGCCAGGCATATCATATTGTCTCACAAGGAGATGCATCAACGCGGAATAATAATTAAGTGCAGGGCCTGCCGACATGAATTTCTATCAGAGGAGATCGAGAAGTTGGTGTGTCCTTTGGCTGATCCATCTCATCTGTTGTTGGGGGATGATATATGTGTATGTTATGGAGGGCCCATCATGCCTGGGTTGCTATTGTGGGTTGATGATGGGTTTCTTGATATGCCATTTGGTGGGCATCTCGTGTTGCCTCTGCAGTATGAAGCATGGTGTTTGCTACGGATGAGAACCATCTCCCCCGGAATCATCATCTGTTGATGGCTTGGATTTTGTTTCTTTAATGGATGTTCAGATAGCTGCATGGGGTGCGTTTGTTTTCTGGAATTGGAGGTTTTGTTAAGAAAAGAAGCAAGAACTGAAGCTCCTGGGTTGTGCAAAGCTAGTGACAGAAGTAGACTGCTTCATTTAAGGAGCTCTCGATGAACTTCTTACCTCTGACAGTTCGGATCATAACGACAGAAAGTCAATCTGGAGAGACGGGAACGAGGGGGGAGAGTATGCAATTGCTGGTACTGATTGAGTTTGTTGAAGTTTTGGGAGATGTTACCTTAGGTTGCACGTCTGTCCCTATATGTCTTCAACAGTAATGTGGAGATACTGTTGCTTTCATATCTGGAGGGATGATGGTTAGGAATGAGGAGATGCTCCAATGCAAACTGGCCTGCACTCTAGGAAACAGTTGATGTTGCAGAAACACCTAAGAATGTAGTTTGATTTTACATTTGATGAACCTCCGAAGGTACTTTGAAGGGTCTGATGTCTTCATTGTGGAGAGTGATGGGTCAAAGAAACAGATGGAAGTTGTAGTGACCTTGCTTTATATGGTTTATGTCTCACAGTTTTAAGGTACTCTAAAAAAAGGAAATCAACACAGGACACATCATCTTGGTCTTGTAAGGGGACTGATCAAGAGATCGCAGGAGATTTGTGGTGGCCTTGAATATGTGGCATCAAGTGGCTTGTTTTCGGGGATATATTTACTTAGTTGTCTACTATCCTCTGAAACCCTTAGTCTTCAAAACTATCTTGTTTTCCTTTATAAGGACATTTGGAGTTGCATCACTTAGGTCAGCGAGGGAAGAATCCTCGGGAAAAGCTTTTTTAAATTGATTATCCACAAATAGTTTGTGTTAAAACTTGCTGCCATACAATTGAGTAAAAAAAAAAAAAAAACTACAACAAGAGTCATCAATTGGCCTTCCTTATGATTATGTTTATGTATGGTTTTGACCTTAACCTGTTTGTTCTCGAATCCATCTTATTCCAATTGATAGTGAATTGATTTGCCATTTTATGAGCTCACTAAGCCATAAGCCAATGCTATATCTCTTGCTGAACTATGATTTTGTGATGTACACGTGGATGTTCTGTTTCCATAAGAACCCTCTTTCTTCTGTCAGCTGTGCCTTTTCTTTTCACTTCAATCAATTCAATTCTATATGGAACTGACATGCATTCTTGTTTCTGGTGTGGCCCTTGCTCAGGCACAAGTTACTGCTTATGTCAAGTATTTTGGACAATTCACCTCTGAGCAATTTCCGGATGATATAGCTGAGGTATGCCTCTCAGCTGAATGTCATATGCCTTATACTTCCTTTTGTTCTCTTAACATATTGTCTTTAACCTAATGACTTGTTTTGACAGTTGATCCGCAGTCGTTATCCATCAGCAGATAAACGCCTTTTTGATGAAGTTCTGGGTAGATATTCTTTACTCATGTACTTCCTTAGACTGTTCTATTATTGAGGAGAGATCAGACAACTTCATGCTAATTGTCACTTTTTTTATTTCATATCGAACTCCAGCTACATTTGTCCTACATCATCCAGAGCATGGCCATGCAGTGGTGCTTCCAATTATCTCGTGTTTGATCGATGGTACTCTGGTTTATGACAAAAGCAATCCTCCATTTGCTTCTTTCATATCTCTAGTCTGCCCGAGGAGTGAGGTACATAACTTGGAAAAGTTTGCAAGATGCCTCCTAAAAAAATCAAATACCAAATGCTTAATAAGTATCATCTTTTCTTGATTGATAAAATTTTCTTGTAGCTCAATTTGCCATGAAAACAGTACAGACATATATGATTGATTTTTAAGTATAATCTTTTCTTGTACAGAATGAATACTCTGAACAGTGGGCTCTAGCATGTGGGGAGATCTTACGGATTTTAACTCATTATAACCGCCCAATATACAAGAAGCAGAGTACTGAATCAGATAGAAGCAGTAGTGGTAGTCATGCAACTACAAGTCAGTCAACAGATGGAGAATCCTGCAGTTCACCGCCGTTACAGCAGGAAAGGAGGCCTTTAAGACCATTGTCTCCCTGGATTACTGATATATTACTTGCGGCACCTCTTGGTATCAGAAGTGACTACTTCCGCTGGTGAGTCACAATGATTTTCTGAGCACTTCCTATCATTTAGGAATCCTGATTTGTGCTGTCATGTATCAACTATCCTGGAGGGATGTATGGATATTGATCCTAAGCAGATTAGTTGGATTGGCCGTAGTATGTTTGATAGTTTGGGAGGAAGCAATTTGTTTCATAGCTCCCAAATCTCTAAATTTAATTAGTGCTTAATTTATTTGCCAATTTATCAGAGAAAAATGGAATGATAGTCAAGTTACAACAAAGAGTAAATGATTAATTCGTCATTAGCTTCAATGGTTGTAAATGGTCAATTGCGGTGGCCATAAAGCTATTGCTTTTTCATAAACTGAAACTCCTTGTCTATTTTTCTTCAGGTGCAGTGGTGTTATGGGTAAATATGCAGCTGGAGAGCTCAAGCCACCAATAACTGGTTTGTTTAGTTCCCTTCATAATATATAAAATGAATGCATTTGGCTTCGATTGACCACTCTGGATCTAGGAACAACAAAGTGTTTACTCTATCATACAACATTTTGTAATTATTCATCTTTTCCCCCCTTCAGCTTCTTCTCATGGATCCGGGAAGCATCCTCAGCTGATGCCATCAACTCCAAGATGGGCTGTTGCAAATGGTGCTGGTGTCATACTAAGTGTGTGTGATGAGGAAGTTGCTCGCTATGAGACTGCAACCTTAACTGCAGTTGCTGTCCCTGCTCTCTTACTCCCTCCTCCGACTACAGCTTTGGATGAGCATTTGGTTGCCGGGCTGCCAGCTCTGGAGCCTTACGCACGTTTGTTTCACAGGTGAATCTACTGATCACGTTGTTAATTTAATTTCGGGAATTTTACATGCTCCTGCACTTTCTCATTATTGCATTACTATTGTCTAGATATTATGCCATTGCGACCCCTAGTGCAACACAAAGACTGCTTCTTGGACTCTTAGAAGCACCTCCATCATGGGCTCCAGATGCACTCGATGCTGCAGTACAGCTTGTGGAACTCCTCCGAGCGGCAGAAGATTATGCAAATGGCATTCGAGTGAGTTGGCATTATCATTAGCAAACTAGTTATATCCCTGATGAAAATTCGGATTACACGTTGTCAAGATGCACTTGTGCTGCTGACTTTAGCTTTCATTATCAATGTGCTAATGACCTTTCGATCTCATGTTTCTTTTTCTTCGTAAATCTTTAAATGCAGCTTCCCAGGAACTGGATGCATTTGCATTTCTTGCGTGCAATAGGGACTGCAATGTCGATGGGACCCGGAATTGCTGCCGATGCTGCTGCTGCTCTACTCTTCCGTATATTATCGCAGCCTGCATTGCTCTTCCCTCCTCTGAGACAAGTTGACGGAGTCAAAGTTCAGCATGAACCTTTAGGTGAATACATCTCAAGCTACAGAAGACAGGTAAATATGAGCGTCAGATTGATGTTTCTTTTAATTGCAGTAGAGCCATGAACATGAACATGACCTAAAAAAGATTATCAATGACCAGATAGAAGTGCCAGCAGCCGAAGCAACCATCGAAGCTACTGCCCAGGGAATCGCGTCCATGCTATGTGCACATGGTCCTGAAGTAGAGTGGAGAATCTGCACCATATGGGAAGCTGCCTACGGCCTAATTCCTCTTGGTTCATCGGTCGTTGATCTCCCCGAAATCATCGTTGCAGCTCCACTGCAACCTCCAACACTTTCATGGAACCTCTACATTCCTCTACTGAAAGTCCTTGAGTACCTCCCCCGCGGAAGCCCCTCGGAAGCATGTCTAATGAAGATATTTGTCGCTACCGTTGAAGCTATCCTCCGCCGGACATTCCCACCGGAATCTTCTTCCTCTGCCACCGAACAAGCAAGTAAAACAATGAGCTATTATCATCAGTCTGCTTCCAAGAACCTTGCTGTAGCAGAACTCCGCACTATGGTGCACTCGCTCTTCCTCGAATCCTGTGCTGCACCAGAGCTGGCTTCCCGCTTGCTCTTCGTAGTGCTGACTGTCTGTGTCAGCTACGAAGCTCAGACCTCAAATGGCGGCAACAAGAGACAAAGAGGCGGCGATTTGAGGTCTAGGAAGACAAGGAAGCAAGGGCCTGTTGCTGCCTTTGATTCGTATGTTCTCGCCGCCGTTTGTGCCCTAGCTTGTGAGCTCCAGCTGTTCCCTTTCATTTCTCCTCATGGTGGGATGAACAACAACAGCAATTCACAGTGCGGAGAAGCCAAATTGCCTGCAAAGATGAGTAATGGATCATCTTCAGCGATTGGTGATATGAGGAGCAGCATTGATTCTGCAATCAATCATACTCGGCGATTGCTGGCAATTCTGGAAGCTCTGTTCTCATTGAAGCCGTCGTCCGTTGGGACATCGTGGGGTTACAGCTCAAACGAGATTGTTGCGGCAGCTATGGTCGCTGCTCATGTATCGGAGCTATTTCGGAGGTCGAAAGCTTGTATGCATGCTCTCGCTGTCTTCATTCGCTGCAAATGGGATGAAGAGATATACAGCAGGGCTTCATCGCTGTACAGCCTCATCGACATCCATAGTAAAGCGGTGGCTTCCATAGTAAACAAGGCAGAACCCTTGGAAGCGAGTTTTTCAGTGCCTGTCTGGAACAAGTCCCTTCTGGCTTTTGAAGGTAAGAAGAAGAATCGAAACGGAAGCATTGGTGGTGGGTTTGAAACAGGTCAATCATCTGGTCAGCAACCTGGGGAATCTTCATATCTAGAAGCGAAGGTGAAATCAGGGAAGGGGATTGAAGGGTTCTCGTTGGATGCTTCGGATTTGGCGAATTTCTTGACAAAAGATAGGCACCTTGGATTCAGTTGCAGCGCGCAAGTTCTGCTGAGATCGGTTCTTGCTGAGAAACAAGAACTGTGCTTCTCAGTTGTCTCTCTGCTTTGGCACAAGTTGATAGCAGCGCCCGAAACTCAGCCTAGTGCTGAAAGCACTTCTGCCCAGCAAGGATGGAGACAGGTATGTGTTACTTCCAACATATAAACTGGACATTAGAGAAAAAACTTGTTTAGTATGTGGTATAGTAAGGGTATTAAACGAGTTTAAATATGCAGGTCGTTGATGCGATGTGCAATGTGGTGTCAGCTTCACCAGCGAAAGCAGCTACAGCAGTTGTTCTTCAGGTCTAAATTTTGTTTTCTCTTTTACATTTCTCACGAAGTGAAGAACTACGGGCAATTTTATATGCATCTGCTATTGAGACTTTTTTTATGAGAAATTTAGATCACTTTCATGACCGTGTATTACTGTCAGGCGGATAGGGAATTGCAACCTTGGATTGCCAAAGATGACGAGAACAGTCAAAAGATATGGCGAGTCAATCAGCGGATAGTCAAGCTAATTGGTGAGCTCATGCGAAATCACGACACCCCTGAATCATTGGTGATCTTAGCGAGTGCGTCAGATCTGCTTCTACGCGCCACAGATGGGATGCTCGTCGATGGGGAAGCTTGCACTTTGCCTCAATTAGAGGTGACAAACCAACCATAAATTGTCTCTCTCTGGCTTATCACATTTTCCAAGTGAACCATATGTTTGTTTCAGTAATCTGGTCAGCTTATTAGGCCTACTGATTTTCAGGGTCAATTACATCAGAACTCGCTGAGAAATCAGTCAATTTGATCTTTAATAGATGTGTCACAGAGGTCTGAAGTAACTACAGAAGAACTACTCTGTCCACAAACGTTAAGTTCCGTGTAGCAAAAACATCACAATATAGACACTTGTTCAAATAACATATAGGGAAAGTGAGGGATTATGGTAGTTTCAAGTAAATATGGGCTGGAATCGGGTCAAGCAACGAGTCTAGTTTGGATCAAATTGTGAGTTACAATAGGTGTTCTATAGTTAGGATTCATCATGACTTTTTCCTGTTAGTAGTTTGAGGATCGGCACATTAGCCTGAACAATTCTGATGAAAAAGATGGACTTGGCGATTGATTGGTTAGTGTTCATGTTATGTATTCCTTTTATCTGTGACCTAAAACTATTGCAAATTTCAACCTTAACAGCTACTGGAAGCAACAGCGAGAGCAGTTCGGCCAGTGGTGACTTGGGGAGAAACGGGATGTGCTGTTGCGGATGGTCTCTCGAATCTCCTCAAGGTAAATAAACCCCGAAAAAATCTTGTCATGCAAGCTACTGTCCAGCTACAAAATTTCTTGTCCACAAAGGCATTGTGAATATGACACATTTCTTCATTGAATGCAGTGTCGTCTACCAGCAACAGTCCGATGCCTATCTCACCCCAGCGCTCACGTCCGAGCTCTGAGCATGTCGGTACTCCGGGACATCCTGCACAACACGTCGATAAAAACGTTCCATAAGCACGCCGAGAAGAATGGCGCCAACGGAACTCGTTCCTCGTACCAGTACTTCAATGTCGACGTCATCGACTGGCAAGCAGACATCGACAAGTGTTTGGCATGGGAAGCTCACAGCCAACTGGCGAGAGGGATGCCTATCGAGTTTCTCGATGCTGCAGCAAAGGAACTAGGTTGCACCATCTCTATCTGACATGATCATCATCACTTACAGGCCACAGATCAAAGCTACACACAGATTTTTCGTTCTCAGTATATAGTCAGGGAGCTGACGGCGGAAGGGAGTAGAGCTGCTGAATAGGGGTCAATCAATCATGATCAAAGAATGGGGTGTAGTGTAATACTTCTTCATGTTGTTGTTTGGTTTCTGTTCCCAGCTGCTGCTCTGTTTCCAAGTCCATATTGTTGTATCTTATTCGTGCTTTTTTCGGGGATTCGACGACAATGATGGGTTTTAGAACAAAGAAAGAACTGAGAAATTGAGTTATGTTGATATACATTGGAGTTTCTCTTTGTGTATTCAAAAGATGAAATTGATGTAATGTTGATATATTAGAGTTCGTATATTGGGAACTATATATGACATAGAGAGCAGCTCCGCTAATTAAGGGGTCAGTTTCGCAACCACGTAAACTTTCAGTGACTAAAACTGAAATTAGCCATAACCTTTTATACGGTGCGTTTCATCTTTGTATTCGCTACGCTCCATCCAGACTTCCGTTCCTCCTTCCTTAACCTTTGATCAACGGCAGCACAAAGAGTCGCCGGCTTCGCAGTCCTTCTCCGCGCCCAACTCCAGCCACCGCCGCTACTCCCTCGAAATCGCAGAACCCGGCGGCGGAAGTCTACGCCGACATTTTCCTTTCCCGGGATTACTTCTAGTTCGACTGTCCATTAGTCGTACGCAGGGACGAAGCAGGTAACTCGACTGAATCTCTATCTTCGTTTGCTGAGATTTTCTTTCTTCTGCTGAATCAGAACCCAATTAGTGGACGCGAATACACAGATTGGCTGCCTCTCCGTTTTGATTTTCAACGATCCGGATGCCTTCTGGGCCGATGGATGTCTGAAAATTTAGCTTTTGTTCATGAAGTGCTCCAACATTTTTTAGCTAGGGTTTGGGGTTGTAGGATTTGCTTTTCCTGCTGTGTCTTCTTCTGCTTATATTGCAATAGATTTACGTTACAGTTTTGAGTTAGAAGAACTTATTTGTGTGTCGGCTGAAAACTGAGAGGGGATTGATTAGCTCATTAGCTCAGAAGAAGTGAACAAACCTGCTTGTTTTGCTAGTTGGGTTTTCCAGCTCCGGTTTCTGTGGCATGGTATTTTGATGAAAGAACCGTTTTCAGTGACAGCTCTACTTAGCTTCTGTTTCGTATCGACCTCGTTGAATCATGTTGACAGTGCTCAGTTTTGTGTCAGCATTCGTCGTTGATGTTTGGGTAGGCTTTGTACGCATTTTTGAAAGTGGTGACATTTCCCTCAAGATGTCCATTTTCATGATGCAATTTTAGCTTTTGATATAACTCCTAGGGCTAACTTCTTCTATTTGATCAAATAAAGAACTAAGAAGGATATTTCTACCACATGTTTCTGAAGTCTAAGTTCATAGTTCGAGTGCTTCAAGATAGCTTCACTGTTGGTCGACTCTGTGTGTAATTGCTTTCAAAGTTCTGTAAGCGAGCTTTCCTATTCCTTTTTCACCAGCTGGTTCGATCTCTTGATGCAACTTCATTTGAAAATGGCAGGTACAAAGATGCAAGTCATTCCTAGTGAAAACCCTCTCTCGGTTTCTGGTCCCAGGCCCATGGAATGGTCGACTGTTCCATACGCTGGTCCTGGAGGACCTGCTTCCAACGGTAAAAACCGAACTTCAAGCTTGGAGTCACCCATAATGCTGCTTACTGGTCATCAAAGCGCCATCTACACTCTTAAATTCAACCCCACCGGAGACCTCATTGCATCTGGTTCACACGACAAGGAGATATTCCTGTGGAATGTCCACGGCGATTGCAAAAACTTCATGGTCCTGAAGGGCCACAAGAATGCAGTCCTCGATCTCCACTGGACCACCGACGGATCAATGATTATATCAGCCAGCCCCGACAAAACTGTCAGGGCATGGGACGTCGAGACAGGGAAACAGATCAAGAAAATGGCCGAGCACTCGTCATTCGTAAACTCGTGCTGTCCTTCCAGGCGTGGCCCGCCACTCCTCGTCAGTGGTTCTGATGACGGGACAGCCAAGCTCTGGGACCTACGCCAGCGTGGCGCCATCGGTACGTTCCCTGACAAGTACCAGATCACGGCAGTGGGGTTCTCTGATGCTTCGGATAAGATATTCACAGCTGGAATCGACAATGAGGTGAAGGTGTGGGACATCAGGAAGGGTGAAGTGACGATGAAGCTCGAGGGGCATCAGGATATGATCACTGGGATGCAGCTGAGCCCTGACGGATCTTATCTCTTGACCAATGGTATGGATAATAAGCTGTGTATTTGGGACATGAGGCCTTATGCGCCACAGAATCGGTGTGTGAAGATTTTGGAAGGGCACCAGCACAACTTTGAGAAGAATCTGCTGAAATGTGGGTGGTCTCCTGATGGAAGCAAGGTTACTGCTGGTAGTTCTGATCGGATGGTCTATATATGGGATACTACCACTCGAAGGATACTGTACAAGCTTCCTGGCCATACTGGCTCGGTCAACGAGTGTGTCTTTCACCCGACTGAACCGATACTTGGATCGTGCAGCAGCGACAAGCAGATTTACCTTGGGGAGATATGATTAAGAGTAGCCACGAACTGTGCCAACCGCGAACCGTTGGAAGCATCGTTTTGGCCTTTGGGTGTGTGGGGGTAGTGACTTGTGTTGTATCGTTTAGGTTTCTTGCAACCTGAGCTTGAAGTTTGAACCTTTGATTTAAAGGCCTGTCTTTCCTTAGGGCAATGTTCTATTATTTACTGATGTTTTCTGATACTGCTGTGGGTTTTTTTATCTTATTCATCCGCATTGAACTGGAAAGTCCGGGACTGTTAATAACTCGCATAAAACTCCAGTGACTATTGCTGTAATTTACATTCTTTTCTAAGAACGACGTCGTTTATGTTAAACCGCGGCGTTTCGTTCAGCGCAAATGGGCTTTGGGCCTTCTTGTCCTTTACCTATCTTGCCAGGCAGTGGTCAAGTGCGGTGACCCTCACGGCACTTAACCATAGACCCAGATTGTCCTTTCTCTCCGTTTCAGCCTCTGCTTTCCTTTCATTTCATTTTTCTCTGAGTGGCGTATATATAGAAAACCAATTTTTTTTTTCCAAAGGAACAAAAAAGAGGAAACGCATAGAGGAGAAAAAACGGGGCAGCCCCCATTCGCTCTTCCAGTGAGATTTCGTTTCGACCTTAAACGTAGGGTGAAGGAAGGGAAGAACCCTAGACGGTTCAATAAAACACAAAAAAAGTCGAATTGGTGGGGATTATCGATTGATTTTTTTGGGTTGTCTTGCGAATTGGTGGAATTCTGCGTTGTGGGATTTGTGTTGGGAGATTGAAAGGTGTGTTCTTTGGTCTCTCTGAATCCCTGTTCGGTGGGGTTCGTCTGAGGGATTTTTTTTACAGTTTTCTTCGTTTTGGGTTCACGAGCGATGGGGAAGAAGAGGAAATCCGTGGCGACGAGCCTGGATGAGGTGGATCGGACCATGTACACGACGTTTTGCAGCGCCGCCAGCTCCCTGACTCAGCTCTACACCCAGGCCATGAATCACCAGAAGCTCACTTTCCAAGCTGGGGAGCGTCACGGCCTTGTAAGATCTCCCCTCTTTTTCTTAACCCTGATTTTATCCGTGTCGGCGATGGAAATTTTTTCCTGTTTGGTGGCAATTGTTACATTTTGTTGTTGATTGCTGTCTGTGTGGATAGATTTTGGGAGTTGGAAATCTATTGGGATGGCTTTTGTTTGGATTCTTGCTTATGTGTGATGGTTGTCGTGATTTGTTCAGTTTACTGGTTTCATCTGAAGCACATGTTGAAGTTTTTGGTGGAGATAAGATGCTTTTGTTGGCCATATGTGGCTTAGGTTTACTTTTGAGTGTTTCTAGCCATTCAGTGGAGGCGTTGAAGGAAGCTGGCAATTGAAGATAATTTCTTTTATGGAGTCCCCTATTTCACTTGCAATTGAAGATGGTTTTACTAGTTGGACCCGCAGGTAGTGTTAGGAAGATAAGAAATTAATGATAATCGAGCCATTAGGGAGGGAGTGAATACATAATCGAGCCATTAGGGAAGTAAATGCTGCTTCTGTTTACCCTTAGTGAAGTTTTGTTTGAGAGGGTCATATAGTGAAGAGGAAAGTTGTGATTTTTTCTTAGTGGAAAAGTTTTGATATGATCAATTAAGGTTAAGTGTTAGCTGCTGACTTGGGTAGTGCCTCGTAGGAGTTTTCAAGGTTGCCTTCCAGTAGGATTTTAGTTCTTAGCTTGTAGGTTGCCTCTCTTGCTCTCTTCTGGCCAAATTTGGTCTGGCTTTACTTTTATTTTTAGCAGGGTCTTTGTTGTCTTTTATTTTGTGTTCTATAGCTTCTTGATTAGTTTTTTTTTTTGTACATTAGATACATGATTATCCTGGCTTATGTGCTCATCTGTATCATATGTACAGGAAAAACTCTACCAGTGGATTTGGCGGCAGCAAGAGGCTGGTTCGAGGGTGGCAACTTCTGATGTCCTCAATTATATTCAGGTTAGTCTGAACTTTTCATATAGATACTGTTAGTATACAGTCATATTAATGAAAAATTCAACATCACACGCAGACCTTGTGCTTGTTCGTGTCTGTTTGATATGTGTGGCTAATAACATCATACATAAATTACTGTTATCCTCTGCAATTAATCTAATCGAATTTCTATCATGCTGTAGAATGAGCTGGATTACTGTGGAGAAGAGCCATCAATGTCTCCAAGAGCACAACCACAGAACATCCAACCACCAATGCAGTCATTGAGTTCCGGCTTTCTGAATTCCTCAATTTCATCAGGTTCTTCTGGACCAACAAGTGTTAGCCAAGTCAGCCGCAACGAGCACTGCGATCAGCAATCGAAGAACTCAGTCTTCTCCAATGCTTTGTCCAGCCCAGTCAGAAGAAATCTCCAGAACTACCACATTGCCCAGGGTGGCGGCTATTACCCAGCTGGTGCACCAGCACCTCCTCCTGGGAACGGACCCCGCAACAACGACAGCACCTTTCTTCAGCAACAAAACCGGGATACGCATTCTAATGATTCCTCTATGGACATCTAGGAAGGACGGTAAAGGGGTTTTGTGCCATGTGCCTGGTCGAATAGACAACGAAGGCATTGCATTTGCAAAACCCTGTTTAGTCTACCTGCTGGTTCATGTGGTTGTGGAACCAAACAGGTTAGCATCAGATGAAGCAATAATCAGATGCTGCTGCTACTGGTGCTACTAGTTGAAGTGTGCATGCTGATGAAGACGAAGAAGAAGAGGAAGATTGAAGAATGCTGAAAGTTCGACCATTGGGGGCGTTTCTGCTCGGTGCTGAAAGGCTTTTTCATTAATTGGGGTTGTTTGGTTGAAAGTTATATCTGGTTTCTGTCATCCTTTCTGTAATTCTGATTTTCATTTTGAAATGGTCATTCTGAATTGGTTTGAGGGGGTGGGAGTGATCGATCACCATGTAAAGAGAGCTCTTTGTTTGTTAATTTGGTGGCAATCTCTTTCTCTGCTGTCTTCTTCTTCTTCAATGTTTCTTTTGTTAGTGTAAGGTGGTCTCTTGTTTGCTGTAACTCTTCTCTTTTACTATTGTAGCTTTGTCTAGTCATATGCTATAGCGAGACATTATGGTTAAAGTAGAAATTTCCTCAATCTATCATGTTGAAGGCCAGTTCCTTTGTTATTCTATTGAAATGTCTATATGTTAGGGGAAAACAAAATTGCATTGTTAGTCGAGTGGATATATCGTAAGGAGGGCGTTTGACCTTGAACTTGTTATGACAGTACTTTGTGGCTTCCTTTCAAGAAAGATGAACAATGTGTCTAAGTGTGCACTTATCGATCGAGTAACTTCATTTCTCTCCCTTTTTACAATAAATTGGGTTTATCGTTACAAAGTTAGGTTGAGTCAAGTTTGTGCGATTTCATTAACCTAAGTTCAGATCCAATCCAACCATATTTAGTTAGACACTAAGTCCCTAATTCACCACCAACTAAACTAAACAATTAAGGAAAGCAATGATTAGTAATTAAACACATTATTACTTACCATCTTCATACAAAGCAAAGCACTTTAAAAGCTAAGCTTACCAAACAAAAGCAAACTTTCCCTTTACAGTTTACCCCCCGCACTTCCCATGAAAAGGTGAGACCTTTCCTCATATTAAAATAGCTTCCCTTATGTTCAAAGAAGATGTTAATTTCAAAGTTCATAAGAAAGAAATATCCCCAAATAAAATCTTGTAAAATAATTAATTAATGGAAGTGAAATATGAGAAGAAAAACTCAAAATTATTAGAGGAACTCGGGTCGTTTGGTTTTGATGATAGTTCAATCGATGTATTGTTATCAATGAATGCATAAGAAAATTGGTGTATTGTAGTTTACATCGTTTGGTTTCTGTGATAGTTATTGTATGGAAGTTGCGATTGTTTTTGTTGAGATTGTCATTATGCATGTATTGTTTACAATGCATCGTTTTTTTGTTTTTTTAGCAGAAATAATACATGGATTGTCTCTATGATGTGACAGAAACTATCACTCATTTTGAGTGATTGTTATATATCAACTTTTAGTTGTGATTGTTGAGATAGTTGAATTGAGATTGTTTTGTTTGAGCTTTTAGTTGATGCGACATACACAATCACACATACCAAACGTTGTATTCTACAATGCATCAAATTCGACAATACATGTATAATATTATACATGCATTCTCAACAATACATCTATTTAACAATTGCAACTTCCAAACGACCCCGCAGTATTTAAATAAATTATATTACTTTTTGGGTGAAATGTCCCTTTTACCCTTTGTTTTTAATATAAAAAGCAACACACATAAAAAGGTAGGGACATATTTGGAAGAAGAAGAAAACACAACAATCTCCATCAAACATTCTCAACGAAAACTTGAGATTTAACTATCACTCATTTTGAGTGATAGTTTGTGTCAAATCAAGCAAACAATGCATGTATTGTTTGCGCAGAAAATTCAAAAAATGATGTATTGTGGACATTACATGCATGGTAACTATCTCAACCAAACTATCACCAAAACCAAACGAGCCTCAAAATAATGAGTTACGGATATAATTATCATTTATCATGTAATTTTATTGGATATGGTTTTTTATATTTTTTACATTGAATATGTTTTTGTACTCTACAAAAATTATCAAGTATTATAGAGTAAAAAAGCAGTAATATAACAATTAACAAGCCTAAATTATTCCTAAATTGGGAGGCTGGTCAATGTAACCTTTTCAAGTAGGCATTAAAATTCACTAAATATTTGACTCACCAATCCATGGAAAACAAAAAAGGAAAGAATATAAAAAAATCCCCCCACCAATTATTCCTTTTCCTTCCTTTTCATGAAAATGAATATATTCAGGCCGGTCCGGTCCATCTTCAAATATTAATTAATTCATTAATTATATATCCTTTTCTCTTTTGTATATTTTTTTGGTGCGAATTATATATCCTTTTCCATTTGTCTGTTATATTATTTTCCCTCATTCACCCCTTTTTTTGGCTTCCCTTATTTTTATTTTTATTTTTTGTGCAGTTCAGCAGCTTCCTTCCTTCTTTGCTCTTCTCTCTCTTTGAGTCGCCTCTAATTCCTCGCCGATTTTATTCGATCCGTCGCTCGCCGGCGCCGTCGTTTTAGTCCCCGACAATCACTCTCTCACAGATCTGCTGCGTTGCGTCGCTTTCAGGTATGCCGTTTGTTGTTTGGCTTCCGCGAAATCACTACCAGCCAGAGATTTTTTTTTTTTGTGAAATACAAAAAAGTAGAATCTCAGACGCTGAGCAGCAGTTTCTCGATGTTCTATTTGCTTTGATTGGTAGTTGTTTCGGGGGAAAGGTCTCCAATTGTCGATCATCTCAATTCGAAGTTGAAGCCATGGCTTCGCTTGTTTGATTGGATTTGCTTCTTTGTTTGTTTTGCTGTTTTCTTGAATGGTTAGGAGTACGGCGAGTGCAGCAGAAGCGGCGCCATTGATGGAACCTTTTCGTTTCCCCCAATCCGTTTAGTGTAGATCTCGCCGAGTAGATCCGGGCTTGTTAGTGGCGGATGACTGGTGAATTTCTTTTTTGAGCAAATTGTAACTCTTGCTGTTTGTTTCTATCTGATTTCCCCCGTTTTTCTATCCTTGCTTTCTGGGTTCGCATGTGGATCAGCTTGATGGAGTCTTTTTCCTTTTCTTTCTTTTTGCTGTGATGTTTGTTAATGGCTTTTTCCGCGGAGGGGGGGAATGGATTCGTGAAACCTGTTTGGTAAGAGTATTCAATGGTGATGTTTGGTAGTTTCCAGCATTGCATGATCGATCACTTTCCTTCCTTTCATCCCTTTGTCGGGTCTATTTCTCTTGGTTTTAACTCGTGAAAGAGATCACGTCTTCTTCACATGATCTTTGAAAGGGCGGAAAAAAGGTAACTTTGTGTATATAATTGGGAAAGAAGGGAAGTGTCAACTCATCAAAAGCTAATGCTGACAGCTACTGTAAGAATTATAGAAGAAAATTCTTTGGCCGGTTTGTCTTTTCATGTTAGCTCATCCTGTCGTTTTTCTTCAGTGGGTTGAAACTTAAAATTCTTCTTCTGGAGTTGGTTGGTTGATAGGTTTTACCTGTTTCGTTAAATATGGTGGATTCTCTTGTCACTGAGCTGTGATAAACTGGCTGACACTGAAATAATGATGTTAACAGGCACAAGGGCAAAAGAGGGGGTTACAAAAGAATGTAAATTTGGGTGCCCCAGATGATTAGGACAAATGTTATTTGCAGTGGAAGGAGGAGGATTCTTCTCTTCTTCAGCTTCAGGGTATAGTAAGGGACTGACCCTACTTCTCTTGGGTCATCAGAAGCAAGAAGAGAGCAAACCCATGAGAGTAGCGCCGTGGAACCATTACCAGTTGGTAGACCAAGGAGAACCAGAGCCTGATCTCCAGCTGGCTTCCCTCAAGAATCGAGTTTCCCGCGGCTGTGCCGCTTCCTTGGTCTGCTTTGGTCGCGCTTCCGCAGGAGTCGATTCCTCCTCCCCTTCTTCTCATCCGAAAGTAGGTCCTGCCCAACACCAGGATGCGTTGCCAGTAGATGATCTTAAAGAAGATATAACAATAGCTGAGATTGAAGATGATAAGAATGCATCTAAAGCAGCTTCACTAAAGAGCAGCTTGAAGAAGTCGTCGTTAAATCACGTTTCTGTTCCTGTAGAGGATGCGGGTGAACATGCTGTGTTGAACGAGCAAGTTAGCGATAGCCCTGGCCACAATGGTAGAAGAAAAGTGCAGTGGACAGATGCTTGTGGTAGTGAGCTTGCTGAAATTAGGGAATTTGAGCCGAGGTACGCGACTTTATTATCTCCTGATGAATCAGTGTTTATATCCTGTTAGATGGTAGTCCATCATTTGTTTGGTTGATAACTAAGTTGCTTCTTTCCTTTTGGGTACTGATTTTCTGACTGCTCTGGATTCTGATAAACAAATATGTGTAACTTTAAGCTGAGAGTTCTCTTCCTCACTTGGAGTTTTATCATTTATGACCTCTTAGACTGATAGTAATCCCATGAAAGATGAAAGTTGCATTATGGAGTTGCATCTGGATTGGCATAGTTATGACTCGTAGCACATTGAGGTGTTAACCAAACTGGTATCAACTGACTCTTGTTTTAAGGGATGTGATGTAAAGATGCGTAATGGAACATCGAACCCTTCATCTATGTCCAATTGGTGTGTTCAGGATTGGAGACTGGAATAAGCTCGTGTAATGAAATTTGTCATGAAGCACCGTATCTACTCTTTTAGGTGTTACTAACTGATGGGTAGCTGATTCCAATATCACAAGACCATGAAACGTCATTAGTTAGTGATAAAGACGTTGTATGCGAGAGTTGGATAGGCATAGAAGTCCATGTTTCTGAAGCATAACCATTTTTAGGCCTCAGAGCAAGAACCTTCTTGAATCATTGTGTTTCCCTTATAGTGCTCCTTGAATTGTTGAGTTTGTTTGCGGGTCATCTACATTGACAAATCCCTTTTGATTGAGTTTGTTTGCAATGAATCCTGCTGTACTGAAATGCTTTCCTGATGATTGATGAATGTCTGGCTGGCAGTGAACTGGGCTTATCTGATGATGAATTCGACAATGGCCGGGAAAGAAGTTGTTCATGCATTATTATGTGATAGAGATTCAACTGGGGCCTAAAATGATCACAGCTTGCTTTGGAGATGACAGAAGGCAAAGCAGAAGGGTGAAGCTTTTTTGCTGAACTTATGACAGGGGAGGCACCTTGTCTGTACATTTTCTGCTAACTGAGGTGTATCTCTGCTGCTGTTCGTGAAGAAGGAAAGGGCCGTGAGAGTCGTTTAGATGGGGAAATGAATGCTTGGCGCGGAAGAAAAGAACTCGGTTCCTGTTTTTCGATTCGAGCCTCTTTGGAGGAATTTGATCATTTTTCAACCATTTTCCTTTTTGTATTCATTTTTTTGCTGGGTTAGAGAAGGAAGAAATGGAGAAAGAAGAAAAGAATGTGGTTTAAATTTTGCTGGTCTTCTTCCTTATTCTTAGTTTGTTGTCCTTGTGACGATATTCCGATTCGGTTCCGGATTCCTGGTGGTGTCAATTGTATGTGTTTTGGTTTCTTATTCATCCAATGTTACGGATTCATATCGTACTTAGATACGAATTTGAGACCTCGAGATTCAAAACCAGTGTCGTTACATCAAGTTTCTCAAACTGTGAAATAATGCAGAGGTCAAACGCTTTTGGGTTATTTGACCTGAAAAAAGAAAGAAAAAGAAACCCCTGTTGATATTAGACAAAATGTGGATATATGAAATCCAAGAAACTTGGCGCCACATTATCCACACACATCATTTTGTGCTTTCCTGATAACGCCCCAAATCCCACAATTTTCCCCTCAAATTCCCACCTTTAAGAACAACAACAAAGAAGGAGACTTTTGCTCGGCATCGAATCGGGGCAACCATGTCAGTTTCGTCTCCATTCCCATCGCCTTGCTCCGCCGCGTCTCCCTCTACGTCCGCCGCCACTTCTTGTTCTTCTTCAACTTCCGTCCGATTCAGAATCTCCGCCACCGCCGCCGCCGCCGCTGGCACCAGGTCGTGTTATTACCAGGGTGTCTCCATTCGGAGCTCACAAGCCGAAGGCCCGATTCGCAGGCCCGTCGCGCCGTCGCCGCCGTCAGCTGCTTCCACTCCGTTGAAGCCCCCCGTGCCTCCTTCACCTCCGTCTTCTCCGCCGCCGCCGACGCCGACGCCGGTGGTGGCTTCTGCACCCCGATTGGGCGTTGCGGAGGGTAAGGGCACGGTGACTTTGGAGTTCCAGAGGCAGAAGGCTAAGGAGCTTCAGGAGTATTTCAAGCAGAGGAAGCTTGAGGAAGCGAATCAGGGTCCTTTCTTTGGGTTCATTGGCAAAAATGAGATTTCTAATGGAAGGTAACCATAACTGAACCAACTAAATCGTTTTTCTTTCTTGGATTTATGGAAGATTAGTTTCAATTTGGTGCTTGAATTTCTTTGGTAGCAAATTAGCAATGGCTTAAGCTTGTGCTTGCTTGGGGACTACGAGTAATGTTGAGTTGAATTGGAACTGGGTCTATAGTTGGTAGGGTTTGAAGATGATAAAGCCGATACATTTGAGCTGAATTCGGCCTCTGGAGGAACCGAGTTCAGCCATTATCATGGCTGCAAGTTCTCCATCTCATCTCTCACAATAACAAGAAATTGAAGCTGAAACCCATTTGTCTTAGCAGTAAAATGGCTCATCTTTGTATGTCACAAGACTTAATCCGGCTGCCTGGCGAATGGCAATGCCAACTTTAGTTGCAGGTAGGCAGCCACAATTGAGTTTAATCTGACATTGGAATGAAATCAGTTGCTCAATCAACCAAGTGCCATTGTTCTTGCTAGAACCTTCCATCTGCACTGAAACCTGCATTCATGTTCTACTCGGTCAGAGCTGTAACCTGCTAGCATATCATGATAATGGGGCATTTATCATTTCCTTATCAAAAGGAAAAATCTCGTATAGGAATGAAATCAGTTTATCAATCATCGAAGTGCCATTGTTCTTGCAAGAACCTTTCCATCTTCTTCACTGAAACCTGCATTCATGTACTACTCTGTCAAGCTGTAACCTACCAGCGGCATATCATGATAATGGGGGCATCTCGGATCATTCTGCATTGCATGACTCGGCGTTTTCTTTCTGTGGTGTCACGAGCAGATGGGCGATGTTCGGTTTCGCTGTTGGGATGCTGACGGAGTATGCAACAGGGTCGGACTTTGTCGATCAAGTCAAGATCCTTCTCTCCAATTTTGGAATCCTAGACTTGGACTGAAAGAAACCTCTCTGACAAAGTGGGATCACCAGTAGTACATTTGATTGCTATATAAGTTTCTGTACCATATGTCAATGTAGTTTTGCAACTTCTTCTTCTTCTGCTGCTGCTTTCCTTTTGTTCATTGTTTGTTCATCATCCTGAGAACTCTGCTTACTTACTGTTTTCAATTGAGCTTGCCAAAGAAGCACAGTCTTTGTTATTTACACAGTTACACTGAATATCATAATCAAGCTGCTGTTGGCCGTTGTGGTTGTGAGAGGTTATCCACAACCCCAACGTTCAACGGCATTTCTCTCTATTTCAGCCAACTTAGCATCGATTCGCTATTTGATTTGCATTCAACAGTTGAGTGAATCGTTGAATCATCGCCACCATTGTTGCTCTCCGTGGTAAAAGACTATCAACACAAACAGCTCAAGAACACGTCAATCCGTTAATTCCACAGTAGATATAATGACCTCACTAATCATTCTTTAATTCTCCTTATGAATGGATTATGAAATTTGGTTCACAAACTTTGTTAAAGTGAAAAATGATGCGTACAGATTATGCCCGTCGCGATAAACTACTTAATTTTTGTGACGAGGTGAGGATATAATTGATGATATACACTCCAACGATCAAGTTAAAAACCGTATAAGAAATTATGTATGTAGAGAGTTAATATTACCTCTGTAGCGAGCTTGAAGAACTTGTACTAGAGATGTAGACACTTCATTCATATACTAGGCATTTTCCGTACAATCTTAATTAAAACTAGGACTCTAAATGAGCCTACCTATTCGATTCATCTCGAAAAAAAAAGCGTTCGACACTCAACTCGATAAAATGAAATAAAGGGGTTAAAATGAAACTACATCCAAACTGCTTTTTGATATCTCACCGTGTCACTAGATTATCATAAGCCTTGTTAGTGCTAGCTTCTTATCTCATATTTCAGCGAAAAAGTTAAACTCCTAATAAGATTTTTTTTTGTTAGGAGATATTTACACGGTCAAGATTGTGGCAGCCGTGATCCAAGGGCTGAGGCTTAGTGACTCAAGGAAGTGCTCATTTAAGTGGATTTTGATGGCTTTTCGGCTGACAATCAAGCCAGCCAAGTGAACAAGTATCCAGCCGAGAAAAACAAGTATCCAAAATACAAAAACCAGTATCGGTCTTTGTTGAGAAATCTCTTATTTTTATATTAATTTTATTAAGACTGGATACAAATTTTCTCAACTCTCAGTCGAGAAGCCACCAAAATCCAGTTAAATGAGTCATTTCTCGAGCTATTGAGTCCCAACCCTTGAATCTCACCGAACTACTAATAGCCCATTCCGCAGCTCTCCTCGTTGCCGGTCACGTCGTCTTCTTTTTCCTCCATATTCCAATTTCCGCCACCGTCGTCTCAATTTATAACTGTGGCGTTGCTGGCCATGACGCGCTGCCGCCTCGCCTCGGTTCTTTACCTATCATGATTTGGTTCTTCTCTCCCGCGCTCCGATATCGAATCGCCGTCGTTCAGTAGCAATTTTTTTTTGATTCGTCTCGTCGACGAACTTCCTAGAAAAGGAAAGGCCATTGCTTCCTCGTCGGTTGAATCGATAGCTTAGGGTTTCAAAATTTTAACTGCCCCTGGAATTCCATTCCCAGAGGTGCGATTCTGTGTATCTCGAGCGCCATCTCCGGGCGGATAAAAAGTTGCAGGATTTGGCTTGCCCCGGTGGCGATTGACCCGACGAGCGCTTCACCGGAGTTCGTCCTGAATGCGGCGAGAGATTTGGTTAGCGATTTGAGTTCGTGGAATTGGAGGTTCGAGAGCCTTGTTTCTCTTCCAACTGAGGTTGTGCTTTGAAGGTTTCGGAGTTTTGATCTAGAGTTTGAGAAAATGTCGAGTGGTCAAGTGACGAAGCGGGTGAAGTACAAGACGTCGGTCAAGGACGCTGGAACTCCTGGCCGTCTTTCACTGGTATAGCTGAAATCCTAGCTCAGTTACTTTCAAGCTTGGGTCTTTGGATTTTGAGCTACATTTGGAGTTGTTGGATTGTTCACAGAATTCAGCAGTATCTATAATTATAAGGCAATGTAACTTCATGAGATTGATTATCAAGAGATTTTAGAAATTGATTGTTCGTCTCCATTCCGTTGTGCAATCTACAGGTGAAAGAAAGGTTGGTGTTCAGGCCAAATAATCCGAACTCAGCATCAAAGCTTGACATGCAGTTCAAATACATTACAAGTATCGTCTTTTGTTCTCTGTCTTCGTTGCTTCTATTGCTTGTGGATCACAACTCAACTTTACTCATGATGCTTTCTCCTTTTTTGTTTCCCTGCGTTGCTTGGAATGCGTAGATCACAGGTACACCAAGGAGGGGTCAAATAAAGCACCGATGCTCAATCTCACCTCAAATCAGGTATGCTCTCTCTTTGCTCAATGTCATTGGTAGCTTGACCTTATATCCGTGTTTGCTTTAAAGTTTAAACTACTTGGTGCTTTTTCAGGGTGCGAGTTATATATTCGAGTTTGAGAGTTATGAAGATCTCCATACCTGCAGGGATTTCGTGGGTAATTCATTAGTTCCCTGTCTCTACTATACATCTGATTCTTAGATAAAATCTCATGGTCTTCGAGAAATTTGTTGCCTGTGAAGGATTCCTTGTTACTAAGATCAAAGTCATGGCTTTGGATACATGTATATCTATATATGTCAGTCTTTCCACGAGACTTGTTAAATTGTTTAGACTCTAGTAATCATGTCATCATGATAAAGTTTAAGAAGTTTTTATTTGACATATATAATCTTACTATTTGATTGGGGAAAGCTTTGGTCAATAAACTCATTCCTTGTTACTAAGATCAAAGTCATGGCTTTGGATACATGCATATCTGTATATGTCAGTCTTTCCACGTGACTTGTTAAATTGTTTAGACTCTAGTAACCATGTCATCATGATAAATTTTAAGAAGTATTTATTTGACTTATATAATCTTACTATTTGATTGGGGAAAGCTTTGATCATGACATATAAACTGCTGCTGTGATCAGATCACAAGAAACATTTCATGTAACTGGCAGGTTGTGCTAACTTGATGAAGTTTGGGCATAAAGGTGTGGTATAGAAATATTTCAGCACACACGTGATGAATATGTAGAAGTTTCGTGTACTTTTGCTCTTCTGGATGAAAATTTCCGTGAATGTGAACCTGTTATCCAATGCTCCTTGCCCCTTTCACTGGCCCAAGGGCCTGCAACTTGTGATTTTTTCTTTTTGGTGATTTTTTTGTGTCAGTATCTTTATCTATGTGTAAAAGATTCATGGCTCTGGTTCAGTCTCTTAGCTTATTTCACCGCTTATTCAATTTTTTTATGCCTTGTGGCAGGCAGAGCTCTTGCACCGCCAGCAGAAACTCCAAATCTTGGAGCTAATTCGCAAATTCATTCAGAACAACCCAGCAGAGATGATTTGCTCTTCCGTGCAAGGCTGCTGCAAAACAATAGGTGAAGCCAGTTTCTTTCTTATTTGTAATATTTTGGGTAATTTTGAACTTCCAGTTCAGCTAGTTGGTGGTGACGAGGTGTCTTGTTTGTTTTACAGCATTGCAGCATCTTGGATCTAACATGTTTTAGATTAATTTTATATGCACAGAAATTTAGTTCTGCTTTGCTTGTGACTTGTCAATGTAATTAGTTGCTGAAAATGAAACTCACATCCCACATTCTCGTATTTCTGAAAGAACCGTTCATTGAAATGAATATCAGAAGCATCCTATGTTAGGTAGGCTTGTTTGCTCCACCTATATACTAGAAAAGTTCTTCTTCATAAGCATTTATGGAAAAAGATTAACAGTTTGTACGGGGACCTAGATAATTTCTTCATTGATCATGTTCTCCCCAGTACTAGGTTACACTGTTATTGTTATTGCATATTTTTTTACTAAATCCTGAGAGGGGCCATTCCTTTTCCTGCTGGCGCATTCTCTACCTAACATCGCAGACTTTGTGCTACATAGTGAATTGCAGAAACTTCATCAACAGTTTGTGGGTGGTGGTGTGCTGACAGAAGCAGAATTCTGGGCTACAAGGAAGGTTAGAATGATTAACTTGTGTATGCCTATTTTCGATGCTTTGGCTGCCTAATTTCATTCAGCATTTGAAGTTCTCAGCTTTTCTCATATCGGAGCATTGTTGGTAGCAAACATAGTCAATGTAGGTTGGTGTAACTGTAATTTAAAAACTGTCATTGTATTGCAGAAATTGTTGGAGAAGGACTCCAACAGAAAGGCAAAACAACGAGGTGGTCTTAAAAGTTCCGTGCTGGCAGAGTCAAAGCCTTTTATCGACGGTCGGGTACAATAATTTCCTCTCTTTGCTCGTTAATCTATTGGTGCTGTGCGCTTGTGACTCACTTCATTTTTATCTTTGTTGATGAGTTGTATTTGATCAAATGTGGTTCTGTTGAGGACTTCATGCTGAAACGTTTTTATTGCTTCCTTTAATCCAGACCAACAGAGTTACATTTAACTTGACCCCAGAGATAGTTCGTGAGGTATGTTGACTATACTGATTCTCCGTGCTTCACTGTGTCTGTTACGATATTGAACAGTACAAGTAGTTGAATTTAAGTGCTCATTTGTACATTTATAATCCCCATATCATCCTCTTTGCATAAAGTTGATTTTCCATCTATACAAGAAACTAAAATACATTGTTATTACTCATTATTTTCTTCGGACACATGTATTGCATTTGCTTTGTGAATGTCATGTCTTCTGTTTCCCCATAGGACTTAAGAATGCTTGTGAGGTCACTCACATCTGAGTTTCAATGGCCGTTTGATCTGTAATAGTGTTGTTGTGCGTGAATTGTTCCGTGCATTCATCTCTGCTCTCTATATTGAAAAGTTTCCCTTCAGATTTTTTCAGAAAAACCTGCAGTTCACCGGGCTTACTTGAATTTTGTTCCCAGTAAGGTATTAACAACTTCTGGAAACTGCTACTATTAAGTTATATATTAGTGCGTTAACAGTGGGGTAAGAAAAAAATTGATTCATAACTCTGCACTTTTCCAGAATTCTTCCCTTTATTTTCTCTGACTTCTATTTTTATTTTGTGTGTGGCTGAAGATGGCAGATAAGGATTTCTGGACCAAATATTGCAGAGCAGAGTATCTCCAGCGCTCAAAGAATATTGCAGCTGCAATTGCGGAGGCTGCTGAAGATGAGGAGCTTGCCATTTTCTTGAAGCCTGATGATATTTTGGCCAATGAAACTCGCAGGAAGGTTGGTTCAGGGATGCATTCCTTGCTCCACATTCTTCTTGAGAAACAACATCTAAGTTTGATATATCACAAACGTAAAATTGTTCTTATATCAGATCAGACGCGTTGATCCAACTCTAGACATGGAAACTGACCAAGGTGATGATTATTCACATCTTCCTGTAAGTTGAATATTACCGTCCTTTATTTTGAAAATTTTGCTTTGATGGCAAGTTGGATTAGAGAAGTCATTCAATTCTTTGACAGTTAGGTATTTTTTTTTAACTAATGGAAAAATAAATAAAACTAGTGGTGAGGACAGAGGAGTAGGACTAAGGTGTTTGCTACAATGGGGTATGTCACTCATAAGTTGGAATGCAAGAGTATAAAATATCTTCTGAGGCTTTTCAATAATATATTCGAGTGGGGAATGTGGAGCACGGCTTGGGAGTGCAAACTGTTAGTGGATGAATTTGATCCATTGATTGAATTCTCACATCTATCGAGAACTCGAGTGAAATGTCGTGCTTGGTAATATCATAGCAGAATGAAGCTTGAGGAATTGGTTCTTGATTGTTTTGCTATGGGCAGTATACGCAGACTGTGTAGGCATTACTTAGATAGCACAGGATGAAGTTTCCAGTAACGATCTAGGACGCACAGCTGTTGCATTAGCATAGATTTCTTCTTCTTTTTTTTTTTTTTATGGAAATTCATCTATTTTTTGTATTTGTCTTTGTGTGTTTGATCATTTGTATCAATGCTGTTTCATTAATTTTTATTCTAATACTGTTTCATTTTGGAAACACAGGATCACGGAATTTTTCGTGATGGTAGCAAGGAAGTACCTGAATCAGGGAATGAACTCTACCAAAGGACTTTGCTGCAGGACCTCAACAGGCATGCAGCTGTTGTTCTTCAAGGAACTCCCATAGGTAAGGAGTCTTCAAGAATTTTCTTTATTTCTCTGTTTACAGCTTAGCCTACTTTTGTGTGTTCACGTACATATGGCTTTTGAGTTTTCCTAACCATTACATCATGCAGATGAAGACCAGCTGAAAGACACACAAACCGTAGCAGAGGCACTTGAACGATCAAAACAAGGTTGATGTCATTATTAGTTTTGCTTCGATTTTCTTTTAATTTTGCTTCCTCGTTATATTTAGCGGGTTCTGATAACTGTTCGTTTGCTAGAGCGTAGCACTGCTAGCAAAGATGATGACTCATCGGCAGATCAGGAGAGATTAAAGGGAATATCTCAAGCGATGACAATTGACGATCTTCGAGGGTCAAATGATCACCACCTCGCGCCGCTTTGGATTAAGGTTCGTTTTTCTTTAACACCTTTTATCGTTCATGTGCTGTTTTTTTTATAACTATTCCATTCAGTTGGAGTTAAGGCTTGACCATGACAAACCAGGACCCTAGAGATTATTTCGATTCACGACAAGCCAGCTCAGTGAAAACTTCTATAGAAGCAACAAAGGGAACCATGAGCAGCCACGAATCATATGGTTTGTTGAGGGAATCCATCTCTCAAATTAAATCCATGGGATTGAATCACCCCGTAGTTGCATCAGAAGTAGCCCAGAAGGTAATTAATTGTCTGCTTAAAAATCGGGGATGTGGTATTAATGATTCCAGACTTCCAGTCAGTCTCTGAATCTAGTTACAAACATTATTGTGTAGGTTCTCTCTGTGTTGACCCACAACATCTCAAGCACAAAGTATAATCTCGGTAAGAAACCTGGAGAAAGTCTGTTGGACAGCCTACCAACCTCAGTTAGAGACGAGCTTCTACATGTAAGTGCTGTGAACTTTTGAACAAGCAGCTGCCAGTTGCATGAGCCTGACACAGTGACACTTGCATTCTCTGGGAGAATATCGGTATCTGATCCTAAATCTTGTTTCCAGCATCATATTTCAATTGAAGAGTTGATGAAGCATTTTTGGTCTTCGTATCCAATCACGAACAAGTATCTCAATACCAAGGTATACATTCACCGGTTATCAGGATTCAATTCTGTTTCTGGATTTTATTCGATGCAATCTATTGCATACAGATTTTCTCCTCCTCTTACCGCCAATATAATGAATGTTATTTGCAGGTAACCAAACTAAAGGATGAAATGTCGAAAATGGATTCTCAACTACAGGTACATTGCAACATACACCGTACTAATTTCAAATTCTCAATAGGGTAGAGCTTTAATTTTGGTGAAAATGGTCGACGTATTGATTGCATCTGCCACTCTTCACTAAATTTCAGAAGTTGAAGGAAGCTGTACAGCCAGACATCCGCCATCAAATTACACTTCTGATTCGTCCGATGCAGCAGGTTGACGATTACTTCTTTCCAAAACTGCCTTCAAGTATTATCAGGTCACCTCTCTTTTACCGAACTCCGTTTCTGTTCGTCTGGTGCAGGCGCTCGAGGCAGCAATGCAGCACTACGACGCCGAGCAGCAGAAGAGAGCTTCAAAAGCTCGAGAAAAGCCGAATGGATATTCTTGAGAGGAGAAATCTTCTAACATTGTACGTCGGTTGGAATCGAAATTTTGTCGAGACGAGTTAGTTTCTTTATAGGTGAGAGATGACGAGCTTACGTTGCCATTCTTTGTACAAAAAGTTTTAAAGAAAGACAATGTAGTTACTCGTTGGTGATTTACTCTTACAAGTCACCCATTAACTATGCTCTTATGAAATGTGACACGAGTGAGGTTGAAAGGCCAACTGGTTACATATCTTCCCCATAGATAATCCAGAGCGTAATGCAGAATGTTTATAGCACATTAGGTAATCACATGTAGCGACGATAGTTAATTGATCTGTTGACGTAAAAATCATTTTACGCGGCTAAATGAACAGCTCTGCTAAATTTCCTACGAATAGAGTGCACTCAATTAGCTTGTAGTGTAAGCTCTAAATCAGTATCCTGTGGTGCCATACGTTGATCTATCAACCAAATGTTTAAAAGTAAATAGCGATAATCAACCAAATGTTGATCTATCGATGCAAAGATCGTTTTCACCAAGCAATGGACAACCCTGTTAATACTACGGGGAGCATAAGCAAATCTAATAGTTGCAAAAGCAGACTTGTAAACTTTCCATCACTACTCACTACATCCCTGCACCAATTTCTTGCTAGTTGATATGTATATACATGTGCATATATGTGGTATTTACAAAGAAAGCCGCACGCCAAAGAGCAACAACCCCTCACTCCCTCACAAAGATCCAACTGATTACAAGTGGTTTAAACAAACAGATGACTGCCTCTATACTCTCAACTCTTTACACGAACAAACTGCTGCGTACACTCTCTTAAGCGACTCCGATAATGTCTGTCATTCACCTAGAGGTTGGGCGGCAGCCATATGCCTAACACGTTGATGAAGCCTTCGTCGGCGGTAAAGTCCAATCAGTCGAAGGCCGAGAACGATTATGATGGCTGCGTGATCAAACAGCCTCACCACTCCTGCCCCACCTGCAAGACAAGCGAAAGATATCGGTCTTAACATGTCAAGAATCGTACAACATCTTGAGTCGAAGTGAGAAGTGCGGAAGAAGATAGTTGGCTTCATTAGAGAAGGCACTGACCTGTTGGAATGAAGTCGAAGGGAGAGAATGCATAGACAATGCTCATTATCATCTGAAAATTGTGGCAAAGGAAGAGAATTCCAGCAATTCATCATCCAAACTTTCACTTTAAGCTACCCTTCACTCTACTGCAGTCACATAGATGTGATCAGAATAAGGAACTTACAGCTAAGAGGCGAGCTTCCTGAAGGAAGTACTCTGGCCTATCAGGATCCATCATCCGCATAACAATTCGCTTGAAGAATAACGGTGATTCCCGCACTTTCTGTTCATAACAATGCCAGTTAGTTCTCTCCCAGAACAAGAAATATACAAACAAGGAACACTTCAATAAACTTCCAGTTAATCTGAGATAACAGAATCAACTGAAAACTTGAAAGGGGCTCCAGTTCTACCTGAACGAGGCCGCGTGCTCCTCCAACATACAGGCGATTGTACCTCTCAACATCCCGCAAAACCTCTTTAACTCCCTGCTCTGGTTGATTGAGTAACGATGCCTCTGGCGTCAACTTAGTGATGCTGGACGAGCACATTGGGCATTTGCATGGTCTTGATGCTGCTGAGTAGTTCCAGAACTGGAGAATGCACCCTCCTGCAAAGAAAGACAGCCCCATGTAACATATAAAACCTTAATGCCCATGATAGTAACTGCATAAGGAACAATCAGCATATCACCATGGATCTGACATTCCCACAATCTCACTTAACTATGAAAACTCTGCAACTAAATACATCCCCATTAGTGAGTTAAAACAACAGAAGGCAATTAGTGAGTTAAAACAACAGAACTCAAAGCTCCCAGCAAGTTAAAGAAGAAGAACTTTTTAACATTCAGCTCCATTTTCCCGTTCAGAGCAGCTTTTAACAAGCACTTCCGAAAGACCCAAGAAAGCGTAATGCTACTTCCTTTAGACCTTTCAGTCTTCAGTTTCGTCTCAAGTGATCGAGGAAGCCATGGAAATGAAAGATAGAAGTTCCAATGGACACAAGAAGCACTTCAAAATTCAAGAGAACCCCGAAATTCCACGCATCACTTCCACGATCTGGTATCGGAAATGAACCGCAGAAAGAGAAAGACAGCAGAATTAAAGAAAAGCAAAGAGGGAAACGGACCGCAATACCAATGGCCGCAGTTCGCTTTACAGGCGACGGAGAAGTCGCCGAAGCAGATCGGGCAGCAATCGTCGACGGGAGGGCCAGCCGCGGAAGCAGCAGTGCGACCACCACCACCACCACCATCGCTAGGGTTCCTCACGAACTCGTCTGCTTTCGTCTCTCTTCCTCCACCTCCCGCCTCGACCGCAATCCTCGTACCGCCACCGCCTGCCTCGCCGCCCGGAACGGCAACATTGCCATGAAGAAGAGCAGTATCGGCCTGATCCTGGGCGGAGCCCGTCGCCATTTCCCGTGAAGCAGCAGCAAATCCGACTCACGAATCTCTGCAGCTACTCCTTCCTCACATTTATTCCACCTCGCTCGCTCGCTCGCTCTGTCCGATTGTTTTCTTCTTTGCTCGGTTTGAGAATGGAATTTATGACCAAAAGTGTCGAGTTGGGTGGCGGTTCATTCAAGGAAGGTACAGGAAGCGGCGACGCGGTCAAGGTTGTGAAACCGGTTTTATACGATTTTAGCTAGTGAGTTGGGCGGATTAGGATGCGAGTTCGGTTTATATTCCGATTTATGTCGGTTTTAACAAAGCATACATGGAGAAGTGAAAATCATTAACATAAAACGTGTGCAATTTGTATAATCTATTTTAAGACAATCTACATACAAATTTCATTGGTATTTAAATAAATTCTACATTGACAAGGGGTATGGTCCGGTTGGGATAAGTTTAGTTTTATATTCTGATTTATGTCGGTTTTAATAAAAAATGTACGAAAAGTTCGAAAACCATCAACACCAAATTCGTGCATTTATATAATATATCTTAATACAATCTAATTATAAACTAACTTCGTCCATATTTAAATAAAATACTACTTTACAAACAAACTGACAAATTGTCATATTTAAATACGATATTTTTAACGTTATCATCCACGTTTGTACCTGAATACAATAGACAACATCAACATCTAAATATGCATACTTGAATCCAACATTTTGTTTCTCTATTTGTTTGTTAAGCTCATCAAAATGACGTCATTTTATTTAGAGACCGAGAATTGATAATTCCAATCGTATTGCTTTTTTCTCAATTGTAAGTTTTTTTTTATCGATTTTGACTAGCGGTGATCTTCCGGTCGATTTTGATCTAATACGGTTGAACCTGATTTGACCAGGTACGCATACCAGTGGTTTTGGGCCAGCGTAGAGCCCACCGTATTCGCCACTCGCCGGTCAGCAAGTCGCGGTTTTCGGTGGCGGATTTTTCCCTTTTCCCCCGCTATTTGCTGCTTTTATCCGATTTGCGTCTTTATCTGATGAAATCTATTTATTCAGAAATCCGCAGCTTTACGGGGTGATTTATAGTAATAATATAAATTTAAGGTTGGATTAAGACAAAGTTAACCGAAGATTCCCCTAATTAATTGTTTTCCTCTTTGCTCTGTGGAGCTCAGCGTGGGACCTGAGTTACGGATTTGTAACGGCGTGGGGTTGATTATGGTAAATTGGTAATCAAATCTCATTACTAATCCAACAGCTAATCATGTGCTTAGTCGCCGCCTCCATCCACACTACACGTAACTTTGTGTTTGGGGTAGAATAGAAGGGAAGTGTTCCGCCATACATGATAGAAAAATTGTTCAATCTAACATATGGGAAGGAAACAGGTCAAATCGCACAGTAGAATTCTACCGGTCACTTGATTTGAGGCAAGCAAGTTGGGCGGAAAATAATTTCTTTTTGAAGATAATTTAGTTTGTGGTTGTACGTCAACGTTTTTAACACGCATGAAATGGTTGTGTATTATGATAATACAGAATTAAACATTGGTATAGTTTAGTAAATCAACAAAATAAGAAATGTGTCCTGATAACTATGATAATTCTTGAGTCATTCGTTTATGGTGGAATATAATTGGAGTGATATTGATATAGTTTAGTAACTATCATATAGGAACATGACTTGTGAACATATGATTGTGAATTTGTGACCATGCTTTTGAGATTTTATTTTTCAACATATATCAAAATGAATATTATTATGTAGATCGTGTATTTATTGGCACATAAATATCTTAATTCATAGTTGAAACAAAATAAAAAAGGACAAATTAAAAATATTAGTGGAAAAGGTCCTGAAATTACCGTTTCTGACCACTTACCACAAATTTTGATAAATTACAGTTTGGCACCAAATTTAGTTTTTCTTACAATTTAGTAGCTAAACTTTAAAATATTGATGGTAAAATTACGTTTTGGTACCTTTATATGTTTTACCTTACACTATAGTACCTACTTTAATATTTTACAAATAGTGTCCAATCTTTTATCAGGAGGTATTTCAAATCACTAGTTGTTGAAATGTATCTGAAGTTGACAAGAAATACATGAGACATATATTTGGAAATCACCCCCATGAATTTGACACAAATCCAAATACCAAACGCAATTAATGTCCAAACACATGATGATTTGATATTTGGAAATCCAAATCACATATTACCAAATCCAAATCACTATATCCAAACAAACCGTTGGTAGTGAATTGGAATTGACTTGTTGTTAGTGTCGGCAGTCGATCGGCACCGAGTAAAGAAAGCAAAGAGAGGAAGAAGGGCAGAAAAATAATGAGTGCGAACTGAACTGAGTGAACGGAACTTGATTTGTAGAGAGCACCAAACAACCGCAAACAAATCTTACTCTATCAAAAGTCAAAACCTGTCCATATGGAAACACAAAAAGGAAAACATCGGCCGCTAGCCAAATCCGTATTAGCTATATGTATCAAATTTCCACAAATGTGGACTCAGATAGCCAACACAACATGCACGCGGGCGAAATCAACGCTTAAACGTTTCACCGTGTTGATGGGCAAGACGTCTTCTATATATTAAGGTATCAGAGACCTTGCAAGCTGAGGCAGCAAAGTACATCATGGGTGTTCATAGTAGAAGATCATCAATGGCGGTTGGATGCATGATGATCAGCTTGGTCCTGTTAATCGCCTTCTCGTCCAAACCAGCTTCGATCATGGCTGATCATCAACACCGACTGCTGCTACATGTCCGGAAACCAGGTAAACCGAAAACCTGAATACCTTCCCCTCACTCTGCCCCCTTGCATGTTTGGTTCTGACATGGGCTTCTTCACTATAGTAGCAGGTCATGTGGATTCTACTGACAACAGAGCACTCGGGGAGAAGGCTGGAGCAGTTCTCGACCAATCCGAAATAGCTGCTAACAGAAGCATTTCGACACCAAGCCCCCATGGCCATGCGACGGAACTGGGGTCACTAGCTGCCCGATTCAATTCAACACTCAGGCTTCAGTTCATCATATCAAACAGTCATACATCCATGTGCTTGGAACATATATACCAGCAGGTCATTTTATAACATGGAAGCGTTTATAGGCCTGATCAAGAATCAGAGAACAGCAGAGCTTGAATTAGCTAGTTGGCTACATGAGCAAACAATGGGCTATACGAATACTAGTAGTAGTAGTAGTAGAATGTTTTCCTCTTTGCTCTGTGGAGCTGTGTGTCGGGACCTACGAGTTACAGATTTGTAACGGTGGGGTTGATTGTGGTAATCAAATCGCATTGCTAATCCAACAGCTAATCCTGTGCTTAATCCCGCTTCCATCCTCCACACTATCCGTGACTTTGTGTTTTGGGGTAAAAGGGAAGTGTTCCATACAGGATAGAAAAATTGTTCAATCTAATATCAGGTAACATATGGGAAGGAAACATGTCAGATCGCACCAGTAGAATTCTGTCGGTCACTGGTCGAGAAAGTGAATTCACGAGTGGAGGATAAATTGGCGGGGAGTTTTTCAAGATTTATTCGGAGAAGGAGTTCGGTCCAGCAAGATTGGAGGTGTTGAATGGATAAGTAACAAGAGAAGGAATAAAAAAAAATGTGTGTTAAACTGATGTGCGAGGACAGTGCCATTGGACCAAAATTGGTATGTTGAGGGAAGTTAATGCCTAATGCAGTTAATATTGAGGAATTCAGTCCAATTTCATGTCGTAACACTCGCTACAAGGGTACTTTCGGAGATGTTGACAAATAGAATGACACAAGTGCTCCCTAGTGTGATAAGCGACTCCCAATAAGCTTTCATAGGAGGGAGGACATTTTGTTAGCATCATAATTTGGAAAGGAATATCACAAAAGCTCTGCCAACCCCAAGATGTGCAGTTAAGGTCGACTTGATGAAGACATTCGACTCAGTAAACGGGAACTTATTGTTCGGTGTGTAAGGGTCATGGCATTCTCATAACCCTTTGTTCATTTGCTCCAAGCTTGTGTCTATACTCCAGTGGTCAGCATAGCTCTTAACAGTGGGCTATAAGGGTATTTTGTTGCAAAAAAAAAAAAAAGTTATTGAAAATGGGACTCTCTCCCGCTCTCTCTCTCTCTCCATATCTATAATTGTCATGGATGTATTTCATTGTATGTTGGGGGTTTTTGCTCTATTCTCAATGGGAGTGCAATGTTGAGCTCCATCATATACAAACCGGGGTCGTAAGTTGTTGCATAGTTTGTATTTTACAAAATCTCAAGGATTTAGATATTTCATAATTCAGTTAAACTGGATTCATATGTGCTTGACACTCTTTGAGTTCACGCATTTGATAGTGAATGTATGGTCATTCTACCCGATTCACATATATCTAGAGTTTTGAAGTAATGTTTAGGCAATTGATCCTAGTAGGAAGCTCTATTGTTGAACTATAAAGTATAAAGGAGGCTAAATTGTATAATTGGTTTTTTCCATGGTAAAGGAAACCGTACCAGAAGTCATACTGGATCTGTCAGTGGTAGGGTATTTTGTGGTACTACCGTGGTTCAATCTTTGTGTACCGGCAAAATACCGTTTTTGTAATTAAAAAATATTTTTTTGTTAAAAAACCGTATGTTTGTTAGATTCATGCACCAAATGAAATTTTTTATGAATGCATGAAAATTATTTCGTACACGAATCAAACAACTATCATCTGTCCTAATTATAAAATTGCCCCGCTCTTAGATTACAAGAATTGACTGACTATTATTGATTGTCTTACAAGGGAGATGGTTCATGAACCATTATAGTTAAATTCATTTTATTTTATTTTATTGACAATACCTATTTTTTCGTATTGTGGAATTAAATTAGTTGGGTCAAGAGATGGGCCTTGGAATTTGGGCCTCGAGCTACGTGTATGTCCCTTCTTTTCCTAGTTATGAACTCGAACATGAGACCTTCTACACTTGGGTCCGATTAAAGAGTTAATTCTAGGAGATTAATAGCTATTTTTTATTAATCACCTGTATGATTTCATTTAAAACGAAATAGTACAGGAATCAGCTAGAAGCTGTGAAATAAGGAAAACAGGTGGCCGACCGACCCATCATTCATTCTGACCCCAATAACAAAGAGTACGTGCCATGATATGAGCAGCCTGGTTACTGGTTCTACCCGAGAAGTGGACCAAAACCGAG